TTCAATTTATATGAATAGTGATGAACTGATGATGATTTGGTCCACAAGTAAACCAGGAAAATTGCTGGTTATTACTGAGGTAAACCCCAAATAACCATTTCAAACTGGAAAATTTATGAAACCCCTTTTATAAAGAGCTTATTCTATATCCACCACAGCAGATTGTTACATTCGAGGGTGTCCATAGCTTTTATTTTCCCTGATATTAACTACAAGTGTTTTCTTCTTGTTAGTTTACGCCCTCAAATCCCATGTAGTGGATATTTTTGTTACTCACCATCTAGATTTCAGGCCCAATCCCAATTCTTTCAACATGCTTGATGCCGATCCATCTTCGAGAAGATTTGGGGATTATTTTTGCAGTCGAAATTGCTTTTTTTCTCATATTTTCTATCAATTTTCCCTCTCATCGTTTCAGTAATTTTAGCGTCGTTTCAGTAATTTTCGGTCGTCTTTTTCCTACAAAACTGTGAAGTTGTTGTGAAAAGAGCTATTTTATCTAATATGTAAAACATGGATGAGGCCTTTTGTAAGGACATTTTACTTATCTGCCCATGGGATCGGCGGTGTTTCGCCATACGCCTTCACTAGTATATCCTAATAATTCTACCTTGTCGATAGCCGTTTTAGTTGAGATTATTGCTTCCGCTTTCTATCTAGACTTGTCCGTTACTTGGGCTATAGCCATTGTTGTTTTGTGTTGTAAAAGAATGCACTTTTTCGGGCTACAGATTTTTGGAAACGCTGTTGGGCTTGTTGAGGGCAAGAGGATACACTGTTTATTGATTGGCCTTTGTTATAATAGTCTTGATCGTGTTTTTAGTTTTCAAGATGCTATCTATTTCGTAGCCAAGTGGTGTTGGCCTCAGGGATCTTCGTCACTGTGATGGTGGAGGTTTTTGTGTTATTATTGGCATCGGAGTTGGGTTGTGAGTCCCTAGTTTCGAGAGAGATGTGCGTCAGATTAGGTCGAAAACTCATAGTCGGACGATGAAAATGAAGTTGAATCGTAAACTTGTACAATAAAAGTTTTAATTTGGGAAGAAAACAAATTCAAGTGGAGGGTGACAATTTATTGGTTAGTACTAGTTGAAATGATTTTTTATTTTTTTATTTTTTTTTGAATGTCAATATGTATTGAAGAGAGATTGAATTTAGGGTACTCAGATTTGGAGATCATATTTTGTTTAACTACACTTTGATATTTTTAAATATGCCTTTTATTTTGAACCGTACTTGGAATATTTTAGGTTG